AAAAACAAAAAAAAAAAAAAAAAAAAAAAAAAAAAAAAAAAAAAAAAAACCCAGCTTCCCTCAAAAGGAGAAGCAACCATTTCACAAAATGAAAAGGTGAATGTCCCAAAGGAGCACACCAGGCAAGGAGGGCCTTTGTCAGAGGGCTGTGAGCCCTGAGCAGTCTCCCTGCCCTGTGTGCTTTCCCAGGTGCTGCAACTCACCATCGGGGGCCGCCCCGCTCACACCTCCATCCCACAGGCCAGGAGGGGCACCAGTCAGTGGGCAAGCAGAAATAGCCGGGTTTGGGCTGACCTGTCCTGCCAGTCAGGAGGCCTTGAGACAGGAGCTCCCTGCATGGCCTGAGGCAGCATAGCCCTTGTGCACCAGGCCAGCAGACTCAAGGCTGTCTAGGAGTAAGACGCAGCTGGGCTCGGTGTAGTTGGGGCCATTTGTCCTCCACTGAGGCTGACGGGAGCCAGGTGGGGAGTGGTTAGAGCAGAAGAGTCCTGGCCAGGGCAGGCGGCAGGTCAGTGTGCAGAATGGGTACCTGGGGCCTGGGGCTGGACCCAGGGTGGAGGGGCAGTCTGAAGGCCAGTTGGAACCTGCTAAGGACACTGGGGTGTCCAGGAGCTGGACATCCCCAAGGCTGGAGCAGGCCCTGCTGGCATAGGACTAGGCATAGAATAGGCAGGAAGGACTGGGAGGAAGTGGCTAGGCTGTGCCCAGCCCTGGTTTTCGCCTGCCTGGCCTGGCCGGCCCAGGCTCCCTGCCTCTCTGGGCACCGTCACCGCCCCTCCATTGAGAAGGGGTGGGGAGGACAGTGAGGACATTGTTCCTCTCCTGGGCTGGCACTGAGAAGACGGGCTGATACCCACTGCAGCAGCCCAGCCTGCCACCCCGCCACCATGCACGATGAGGTGGCTCTCCTGGCCACCGTCACTCTCCTGGGAGTTGTGCTGCAAGGTGAGCTGGCTCCTGAGTGGGGGCAGGTGGGCCTCAGACACCTGCAGTCTCCCTGCTGGCAGGCCCAGACCCAGGGAGGGGCAAGGCTGGCTGGGCCAAGGCCAAGCCCTTCCAGGGCTGAGACTTGGATCCCCCAGGGCCTGAGAGCCACCTGAGTGGCTGAACCTTCTGAGGTGGGAAGGGAAGCCCTGGAGGCCTAGTTTCGGGTTGAGCAGTGGGAACTGTCCAGGGACCAAGACCAAGAAGGGGCCCCACCCAGGGGATGACTGCTGAGGGAGTGCTGAGACATTTATGCCAGGTACCTGGTGCAGGCCTGAGGCTGGTGGCCTTGAGGCCAGCAGAAGCTGCAGGCAGGCAGGGGCTCTCCTGGCTGTGTGGGGTTGGGAAGGTGCTGCTGAGTGGCAGGGCCACCATACTTTAATATATATTTTATTTGGGGGTTTTTGGTTTTTGGGGTTTTTTTTGTTTTTTGTTTTTTGTTTTTTTTTTTTTGAGACAGGGTCTCACTATGTAGTTGAGACTGACTTGGAACTCACTATATAGCTGAACTCACAGCGATCCTCCTGACTCAGCCTCCTGAGTGCTGGGATTACAGGCGTGTTGCCACCACACCCGGCTAGGGCCACCATACTTTAGAGCAGCTAATCCCTGGTCTTTCCAGCTGTCTCCATTGGTTTTTCAAGTGAGATGCCCCATTTCCTGCCTCCCCAGGCATTTTACTGGGGTCATGTGGAACTGCACAGTGTTGGAACTTGCTCTCCTACCCTCCTAAACAGTGCCTGATTGATTCTTAGCCTGGGACACGCAGCCCTCCCGCCCAGGCATACCATGCCCCCAGCAGGTGCTAGGGCATGGCACAGTTGGGCTAGGGACCTGACCTTCAGCTCACCAGTGGCGGGGCTCCCATGGGGTTTACAGAGCACAAGGGCACCTGGGGAACAGGGTTGGAGCTGTGTGTGGCCGGGCAGACAGGGCTGCACTCTGCGCCTGCTCTGGGGCCCTGAGTTCAGTGGAAGCATAGGGCTGCACCCTTCTGGGCTTAGGGAAGAGGGCACTTTTAGGACTGCACAGACAACAGCCTCTGCAGGGCCTCCTGGACTTCGATCGGTAAGCCCCTGATGGCAGACCATGGGGTGGAGGTGGGCCTTAGCCAGAGTCCAGGCGACCTGGACACCGCAGTGCTCTCAGCTTCCCTTGGCGCACTCGCCTTGGTCCGGGACCATACAGTGGAGGTCGGTGCAGTTGGGCATCTGCGCTGTTTTGCAAGTCAAATGGCCCCGGAGCAAAGTCCCGACAGACAAGTGTCCTCACCGCCGCGTCCCCTCCCAGGGCACCGGTGACGCAGGCGGGAGGATGCAGGGGCTCGACCCGCGTGGGGAGGGAGGTGGGCGGCGCCTCCTGACCCCCCCACAGCCTACTTCTCGCTGCAGGTGATCCGCGCGCGCAGGGACCA